AATGCCCCAGAGGAAGTGAAACTAAACTATGATTTTAAACTCCATGCCCTTAGTGACGCTTCGGAAACCGCTTATGGCGCAGTCGCCTACATGGTCGTCGGAGGCAAAAGTGAAACAACGCGCTCTAGATTAATATTTTCCAAGGTCAGAATCGAGCCTATTCGCGCGACTATCTTACCACGCGTGGAGTTAATGGCAGCTGTGGTAGCCGTTAAGATAGCCAGGTTGATCCGCACAGAAATGAGCGTAATGATTTCGACAACTTTCCACGTGACAGACTCTCCGGTGGTGCTAGAAGAACAACGCCTCACTTATGAAGTTATACGAACGGTTATAACTGAAATTGAACAAATTCTAAACGAAAGGCCGTTAGCAAGACAGAGCGACGACCCGGATGATCAGTACGTGCTTACACCGAGTAAGTTGCTGATACTAAGAAGTAATTCGTCCGAGCCAATATGAAGTACGAATCCGAAGAATCAATTTAATAGCAGATGGCGACAGGCACAACTCCTAGCGGATACCTATTGGAAGAAATGGTTAAGAGTCTACCTACCGACACTCGCAGTTTGTCGGAAGTGGAAGTCTGCGCAAGCGGGTCCCAAGATTGGTCAACATGTTCTGCTAATGGCGGCAGACAAACACCGACGTGTCTGGTCTAAGGCAGTAATCGAAGAAGTACACGCAGGATCGGACGACTTAATTCGTGGAGTCACCGCTCGCACAGCAAAAGGTCATGTGCGGAGGGACATTGTCCACTGGAAGGATAAGTTGATCAAATGGAAACTCCGTGACGCTTTCGGGCCATCGGAAACCGCGACTCCGCGGGGGAGTGTGTCATCCCTGATGTCAATTTATATTCTTGTGTTTCCCCTTGCTACTAACCGTTTGTTAGTAACCAGACTTTAACCATGCTACCCTGTCTTTGTCTCTGTATCCCTATTAGTCGGGTCTCGTCATTCCTTGCCCATTGTTCTTTGTCCATTGTCTATTGCTCTTTGTTGCCGCTCGCTTATAAACCGACCACCACACTTTGGCGTCATTCGCTGACTGCTCGTCTTATCACCTCGAATGTACGTCCACTTTCAATTTATCCCCTGCCTTATTAACTCTATTGTGCTCCGCTAATCTTACTGTTTATTGCTATAGAACCACAAAGAATAACCGAGTTATCCTGACTGTCTTCTGACATAGCTTTGACCTCGGGTGCGTCTATTCAGATGAACAAAACAGCACTGAATCTAAAGAACACTACCAACACGGGCGGCCGCACTTGGAACACAGCGTACAAGCCCGGAGACCATGGGTGGTTCAAGGTCAAAACAGTGTTGGAAGAGTCAAGAGGAGAGCCACGAAAATGCCAGCAACTTATATCTCTTTCATTCATATGCGTTTCTAACGAATTGGCTTTTCTATTTATGGGAATCAGTCATGCATGAAGGAGGTTCGCGGTTAATGCAATAATCTCGCCATATTATGACAATTGGAGACTTTCATCCACATTGTGTACACAGGTCGAAAGCTTTAGAATAATTACATGTAATAACATGAATTTCCCATTAATATCTGTCCAGTGCTCTATGTGAAATAGCGGGTGCCGCGTAGGACTTAGTTATACAGCCGGATCAACTGGGATAAGAAGTTACGGAGTTTCGAGGCGTCATGTTTAAAAGCGAATTAGTAATGTCTCGCGGGAATGCACTTTGCACGCGATAATTTATTTCGTAAAGGGGTGCCCAAAATGGCTCCGAAGCGCCTCTGCGCAAATTTTCACGGTGGCTGGCTTAGAGGTAGCTAACATGTTGTAAGCCCACACATGTCCCCGTTCACAGCCCAGTATAACTCTCCACAGCTCACTTTAGCCCCTCAAAACTAGAGGGACTCTTCGGAACTGATGCAATCAGGGACCTATCAGTCAAAGCCTGTTTATAAGACACTGAGCACTCGAGGTACCACGTAATATAATCACTTGGCCCTATTGGCGGTTGATCCTATAGGCCAAGCACATTTAGTTGTTCTCGGGTGTAAAGAAGGTCAAGGTCGATTGACTGTTGTTGCTCTCCAGCCTGCGTCACAAGGCCAGCATTCTGGCGGATACGTTAGTCTGTGTCCAAATCCGAACGCTATCACTAAACCTAGCCTTGAATCCAACCCTAGCTCTAACCCTAACCCTAGCCTTAACACTAACTCTAACCTTATGACTAAGCCTTACCTCCCGGGAATAGGGAGATTCCTATTCCCATGCCTTGCCATGGTATTAGTTTTATCAGCAGTTTACTTCCAAATCTGGCTCCCCACACGCGTGTTAGAGTTAGCGCAAAAGAATAAATAACTAGTTAGGAATAATTCCCAGATGGCTTCTACTATCTGCAGCCGGTCATATATTTACCTTGTATTCTTAATGTTTCATAGATGTGCCCCACATTTGCGAAAAGTATATATACCCAAATTCTTTTCGATCTTCTTATCCATATATTAGTACTTGGCTCTATTAGCTCGGCCTGACGCTATTTGTGAGTGAGTTCAAAGTCATGGGCCATGTGGGCAGCTTCGTTTTGATCTATTTCGACGTTCCCATTACGTTTGATGCATCCTTGTTAGCGCATGTCTCCCTCCTGGGGAAAAGCATATACTGGGGTGAACGACGTCATGGCCAAGTTTGAGAGGTCGTTCATCTTTCATTCTCGACACAACTGATGGATAATATTGCCACTTGTTTGTGGTAGAGGTAGCATGGGTACGCTACTTTCATAGCTCGCGACGAAGAAACCATCGTATTATTTGTTTTCAAGGAATGGGGTGGAATAGGTCACCTGCTGTAATCCCAGCTGTTGGCGCAGCGGTTTGGCCACCTATTCAAGGCACCTAGAGATCGGCCGAAGGCATTGTCCTTACAGACTCCTTAGCGAGGCCTAAGTATATTGAGGTATATTCGGATATCTGAAAACGTTATCTATTTTAACTGGAAATTTGGCGAAACACAGCTCATTTATGCGTTGAACTTCAGAGGCTGACGTTCTTTTACGGCACCCGTGTTATTTACTATATTTGGTTATTTTTTCAAAATATGCCTTCTCGGATAGCAGAATGGTTAAGACCCCGGTCATCTGCCCTGAAATTGTATCTATTTTTCATTAACCTTCTCTTTTTGGTAGGGTGATAGTTTAATTTATAATAAATTGAGTTATTTGGCATTGCTCTCATTGCAGTGTCTATATACGTCAGCTTAAACCGTGCCAACACTCCCGAACTCGTAGGAAATTACTTATTCAATGCTGCTGTATACGTTGTGCTTTTTGCAATTATACTTCTTTTTGTGACTTCGCTCGTCGGCCATTTCGCAATTGCAAAATACAGTCGTGTCTTACTTTTGCTTGTAAGTCACACACTATTTTGAAGATTCGTAGTACGCTGT